AACACAGTATTTATATGTATATAGCAAATGTAATAAATAGAGAAGAGAAAAGGTAAAATGATAAGTATTATTATCGAGCTAGCTGCCCATATTCCCACCAACGTATGTAATAAACCGACTGAAAGAACGAGAAAAAAAATCTGTTGGTCGAAAATTTCAATCAAGGTGTTCGTGACAGAAGAAAAAATCATCAGATGATATGAAAAATAAGATTCATTTATTTTGGATTGGATGATTTTCTTTACTTTATTTAAAAACGAGATTTTATGTCCGATAGTAGTATATACTTCAATAAATATTTGCATTCGAGGTCCATCAAGATTAGCAATATATCTATCATTTAACGAATGCAGAACGAAAAAAAAGAAAAAAAAGCTCTATCGATGTGACATATGATCACTATATGGCAACATACTGAATATATGATATAGGTGTGTCACATAAGAAAAGGTTCTATTAAAAACAAATAGTCGATGAAACTAAAAATGTGATACTAAATTTTTGAGAAAACTTCTTGCTAAAATCTTATTTGTATATGTATAATTGCTTAAAATGATTTGGTAATAAAAGTCTAACAAAACAATTTTATTTAAGCTGATTTCTTTTCAAAAATTAAATTAATTTTATTTTTATTGATAGAAATTTCTGTTTTTATATTATCAAAACATTGGTTGAGTTTATTTCTCTACATCTCTTTATGCTAAAGAGTTACATTGAATTGTTCAGATATTATACTAAGTAATTGTTCAATGTAACTACTATGAAAATAGCCATTTTGTAATAGATGTTCAGATCAGAATGAAAGAGAACTTGATCTAAGCTCAATGACACGATAATAATAATTAAAAACTTAAAGTTTTTATCAATCGAAAAAAGAGAAGTCTGAACGTCTTTATATATCTCATAAAGTGAAAAGCAAAAATTATTCAAAAAAACTGATAACCTTCGAGAAACATTCAAAAGACGAGACATAAAAATGATGTTCTGTTTGTAATGTCATTTTGATTTTCACATATCCTTCGGATAGAGGTACTTCAAACCTGAATATATGCCATGATTTAGGTGGTTATCGTCTAATATATCAATGTTGAGCAAACAAAAAGATGTATTTATTCGATCGGATGATATAGAATTCTGTTGATTTTTAGCAAATTTACTAGCTTTTTATCAAGACTTCCTTGAAGCTAAAAAAAAATCATTTTTCATGCATTTTTTCGAATGTTTTGTAAAGATGATGAGTCTTGAAAAAATAATTGTCTCATTTAGTACTTACTGAGATTACACCTAACTCTTTTTAATTCTCATGCAAATATCTGATCTTGTTAATAGCAATATAAATTATTGTCATACGACGTCTGTGTAAAGCTCACGGTTGATTGGTTTTCATACATGATATTCAACCTCTTCCCTATCATTCACTCATATATTATATATATATTATCCTCACCTTTCTATTCTTACGCTGCTGTCCTTACCCTATTGCTCTTATCGATTTTCTCATTGGTCTCGTCTCCTTTCTTTTCATCGTTTCTTATTCTACTTGCGCATATAACCATGTGTTTTGTATGTAAACGATACGGCTACATGATATGCAGAAATAAAATAAAGTGTATCTCTATCCACACTAGCATTCCTTCTATCAGAAATCGTCATATATCTGTAGTGTGAATATACTTCAAGATGCTTCAGAACAAAAAAAAAACAACTAAATGAATCCATCAAATGAGATTATTATGACCACAGCCAATTCTTTATGTTATAATATAAGTTATTACACGCTTTATTAAAATTTGCAAAAACACAATAAATAAAGGAATATTGATGAGTCACCTTACGAATCAATTCTTAGGCTTGCTCTGAAATTTATGATTTGATAAATTAGAAACAAGAATTGATGCTACATATTTGACTCATATTTTTTTTCTACTTTGAGCTTTGTTATTGATCAATAATAGCTTGTTTATCGTGTGCATTTTTTTCTCAAAAACTTTGATGACGTGGTATATATCATCGAAAAAACAAAACAACTATTTGCATAAAGGTACTTAAAAACAATAAATAAGAAAAAAAAATGAAATGAAGTTGATTAGATTCTTTTCTAATGGACACATATTCAAACAATAGAAAATAGATTAATTTGAGAAAAAAAAAAAGGATTTTACTTGTTAGTAAATTCTATTGTCGAAATGAACATGTAGTATCTGTTAGCGGATTCACCTCCTTGTTGTTATTTTTCTATATTATTTCTTTTTTCTCTTTCTTCTTGCTAGATCTATCTCGATGTTATATAACCTTGATCACTCTTTGTTATTTGTCCTTAAGTTTGACCCTTGATCTAGGTAGTCGAGATATACATATATATATAATCTTTTTTTTTCTTTACAAGGGCAGATATAACTGTGTTACTGTACGTGTGCGTGGGGACATTTTTGATTTTTAAATAAAATAAAGAAGTTCGAACATCAGACCTCTAATAGTATCACACGAACACATTGTTTTTTTTTTCTAACTCTGTTCAATTAATTTATTATATACTGATAATAATTTTAATTTAATATTACTGAAAAACTTAAAATATTTTTTAACAACTTGCTAAAGTTAAATTTTATGAATACTTCTTCAGAACAATAACACATATTTGTAAATGAATATTTTTCTTTTGTTATTTCTATATATTTGTTCAATAAAACATACAAAGATGATAAATAATGAAATAGGTTATTCTATTTTCCTCGTATGAATTAGTAGTGATGTATTTATTGATTTTATAATTCATCAATAAATATAAAGAACGATAAAAAAAAAACAAAATTTCTACGTATGACAAAAAAGAAAAAACACATTATTAGTATAGCGTCAAAACAGATTGTTTTTTGCTTCAATATGATTTATATTGTCGTATTATTTTTCTAATTACCAAAAACTATTTAAGATAGAATAAAGGTATACTTGAGATACAAATATAAGCGTGACGTATCATTATAAATCAACATTATTTACATGATGTACTTACATAATATTGTTCTTTTGATGATATTTCCTTTTATGATAAAATATCTTACGAAAACTATAAAAATAATTAAAGTGATAAGAAGATATGAATCATTTCATAATAAATTATGTATGTTTTTGAATTGCGATCGATTTCCAGAATCCAAATAGTAATTTGTTTAGAGAATTTTATTTCCAACAAGAATTTTCAAACATGAAAATGATTACTAGTTTTTCAAGAATAGAGTTTCTGAAGAACTACAAAACGAAATGATTTTCGATGCTCTACGACGTTTTTTGATCCAGATATATTAAATTGATAGACGTTATCGAAGTTAGTTTTTCTGTTATTTCGTATGAAAGCATCATTTTTTATGTTTTCTGTGAAATTGATCTATCTTGGTTAAAAAAAAACATAGAGAGATAGAAGACGTTAGTGTGGATGTAACTCCTTACTTCAGTAATGTCCACATCTACACTCTCACCCTAATCATCGTTTTCTTTTCATTATATTCTTTTTTTTAATTATTATCATAATTTTCATCTTCGGATTTCAATTGATGATATTCCGATAAACATAATAATTTATTGTCACATCCATCAACGATTAAATTCATTTCAATACTCATATCATCATTAGAACATCTACACTTTCAAAAATTGAAACTTCATCATTACAAAAGAATGCATAGTGTTGTTCCTCCATATTATACATGTATATTTACTAAATACATATAACTATTGATACGCATGACTGATAATAGTTTTTTTCTTCCTACGAAGAGGATATATTCTTGTTATACATACATAAAATATTATTTTCTCTTCTATTTTTCAATAAATAGTATTTAGCAATATTTCAACGAAAAATAAAAAGTCAAAAAAAGATTTATGAAATATATTTTAACTACTGTAAACTAACGATCAAGAGCAGATATAATTTGATTAGAATCTTTGTTGACATGAAATTAATATATAGATTATAATTATTTCATATGTTTTCTATCTCATTTGCTCTACCATCCTTTAATGTCAAGGCTTTTCTCATACGAATATTGATTATACATGATTTTCAATATTTGAATACAAATAATTACAATATCAAGCATAACACCATTCGGTAATAGCATGCAATCATGGAACTATGTTCCTTCTAATAATTAACAGTTTCTTAAGAATATTGTTTCGAATAAATGTAACTAAGATTAATAATTCTATTAGAACTTGGACTTGAAATAACGAAAATCCAAAAGACATGTTTAGCAACAAAAAAAAAATGAAAGTTAAATCGGTTAACTTACCTTAAAATATGACCTTAAATTCTTCTATTCTATAGTACAAACTTTTTTCTTTTACTCTGAAATATATTTATATGTTTTATTGAAACAAGTTTTAAATAATAACACGTGTTTATTTAAACGATTGAATTTACTCGTATGTAAATAAATAAACTTATTGAGAATAGATTTTTCATAATTAAAATATCCATGAATGGATTTTAATCATGAATAGAAAATATATCTTCTGACAAAATAATATGATAATGAATAATTCAACATGTTGAATATTTTTATCTTGTTTAAAATTTGTAGACAAGAGATACATCATCAATATCTGATGTAATACTACTATGTCGTTTTATTTGTGTATGATTATCTTCAATTCTCTTATGATATTATTTTTCTTGAGATTATTTCTAAATAGAAGTTTAATACAATTTATTTTGATGATAAATCTTCTACAGATTTTGATAATAATCGTTCGAGTCAACGATGTGTAGAAATATTATTAGATTCAATTTTTTTTTATTATTAAATGAAGATGTATTAGCCATTGATTCAACTTCATTTGGTCGATGGTCAGAAATAATAATGTTAGATAATTTATCAGTTAATCGATTTTGCTTCGGCTACTGGTGCAGATATTCTTGTTGAACTAACCGAATAAAAAAAAAATCGAATTTTAATTTTTTTTTTGTATTTGCTTTAACATTTACGCTGTGTTAGTGGTTAGCATAGATTTGTTTTCTTTTGTTGATGATATAAATCTATAGCAGTTGTTGTTAATTCAACTATTTGTTTCATATTTTTCATTTGTTTAAACATTTGTTCCATTAAATTAAAACAACTAGGTCGTTTCGATGGATCTTGATTCCAAGAATCTTCTATTGCTTGTTTATATTCTTCAGGTATATCTAATGGAATTTTTGGTCGTTCTTCTATTTTAATAAGAGCTTCTATCACTATTTCATCAACATATTCATTCTATGGTTTCAATCCAGTTGCTAATTCCCACATTGTTATTCCAAGATTATATATATCTGTTTTTTTTTCGTATGTTTTTGATGTGGTATTAATAATTCTGGTGTTTTCCATGCTAATGAACCAACCTTTTGAGATGATATAGAATTGTTTATTGATTTTAATAAACTTTCATGACGAATATCTGCTAAACCAAAATCACATACTTTTAATAAAAATCTATGTTGTTGACATCCGTTTAATTTCATTAAAAAATTCATTGATTTTATATCACGATGAATTATACATGGATTAAGATTATGTAAGTATTTAGCCATTTGCCAACTTAATGAATATCGATCTAACCAAGTTAATGTTATATTATCGTTTTGTTTATGTAAAACATCATATAATGAACCTAATAGCATATATTCCATAATAATTGCATTAAAAATTGATTCAATACATGCACCAAAAACTATTACAACATGTTTATAACGTATTTTATACATCATAGATATTTCTTGATAGAAATCCGTTTTGAATTATATAATAAATCATTTATACGTAAAACTTTAATAGCAACTTGATCATGATGTGTCAATCAAATACCTTTATAAACATCACAGCAAATCCTTCATGACCAATAGGTTTTTCTTTTATTGATAAATCTTTTAATGAAATATGTAAAATTTCATTTTGTTCATTGAACTGTGTTTTTTTCTTGATTTGAATCTGATTGATTTAAAAATTTTTGTTCTAAATCAAAATGAAATGATTCTAAGTGATGTATTATTTTATCAATTTGTTTATATTGTTCTTGATGTTGTTGTGACATTTGACTTAAAATTTTATTTAATTCATGTAAATCTTGTTGTTGATCTTCTCGATTTTGTTTTTGATCAAATAATTCTTGTATATTTAATTCAAGACATAAATCTTGTCCTAATTGTGATAAACGTTTATTTAATTTTTCAAATTTTTCATAATCATTTTCATGTTCATGAATTTCTTCATACTATCGTGTAGAAGATGTTAGTTTTTCGATAAAATTATTACAATCATGAAGACATTGAAGAAGATTATCAAGAATAGAACGTGTTGCCTTGTCGTACAAATATTAAAGATGCATGTTCTAAACGTTCAAGTGGATCAATTAATTGATCAATACGTAAACATAAACGTTGACATTGAAGTTTATTTGTTTGAATTTGAGCACGCTTTCTAACAATACGAACTTTTTTTGATGTTTTATCAGATATTGACAAATGTAATAAATTGCTTTTAAAATAATTATTTCATCATTCAAAAAGAGAAAGAATTTCTTTACATGTATCGTACTATAGATTATGTTTATTACCCAGCTAGATACTAAATAAATATTGATAAGAAAAAAAAAAAGTAACAGATGAAGTTCTTCTCCATTTTACACTTTACGATGTATAATATTAAATTGATGATTCAAAATATAAGTCACGTGTAGTACTACTGATTGTTTATTTCAATATGAAAATAAAATAATATTCAAAACTGTTGATTCATTAAGAAAAATAAATTAATATGCCATTTTCGAATAATAATAATTCATTCTCTCTTATTTTTTGTTTGCTAGCAAAAGATATTTCGATGAAACATACATCTATAAAGATATGAATAAAAAAGATACGACATGACTTTTTTCATTTATCAGTTCTAAATATTTTCTGTTGTCTTATAGTAAACAAATGGCGAAAACAAATCAACGTTTGGCTCTACAGATTGTCATTGGTCTTCTTGCAATAATCCCGCTTTTTGTTGGTTTACAAGGTATATTCCGTGGTCCAAATATGTTAGCAGAAGGTTATAATTATCCTCTTTCGGTTGATAGTCACTTTCGTTATTTATCCGGTTTACCTGTTGCCATTGGATTACTTTTATTACGTAGTTTACCGACTATTGATCGAGATGCAAGTGACTTACGTCGTGTTTCTTTACTTATATTTATTGGTGGATTAGGACGGTTATGGGGTCTAATAACTTTAGGTTTTGATATTAGTACAATGGTGATCACTCTTGTTGAATTATTCTTATTTCCATTTCTTTGTCTTTGGCAATATCAAGTACAAAAAAGCAGTGTACGACCTCGTACGAAATAAGATCATGTTCTAGAAATAGTTTAATTGTTTTCTTTTATTATATTAATTATTTCCATCTGAATAACGTACGCATAAATAAAATTTCATCATTTGAAAACATTAATAGATGACATGCAGAAAAACTAAAGTTGAACTAATTGATAATATAACAAACTATTTCAGATAGGTGGCAGTTCGGTTCCCGTTTGTAAGTTGCAGGTCTTCTCCTCTGTTTTACAGATACTGTCATCGACACCTTTCAGTATGCGCTTTGGCCAAAATCTTATTAATCTAAAATAGAAAATTTTGTTCTCGTTTGCGAATGTTGTTGATACCAAATCTATGGATGATAAAATGTTTTCTTGCCACCTTCCTTCATTAGTAGTATATTGAATGAAGTCAAATTAAATTATAAATTACATACGTAAGTGAGATTATAATGCTTCGTTTGATAGACTTTTGTTTCAAGTCTGTACTTACAGAAAAAACAAAAGCAACATAAGAAGTTTAGTTATAGTTTGAAAATATCTAGCGTATCATGATGCCCTTTTGTCTCTTTGTGGCATGAATATGAACTTCTTCTTCAACATTTATTAAATCTTCTCAATTACAACATCAATCAAGATGATTTCATATATATAGATTATTATTGTTATAATATGAACACTTCTTTATTATCAACTAATCGACATCTTTAAACGATTATCTTAATAATATTTCTTCAATAACCGCACCTAATGTAGCAAGTTGATTTTGACATAGACTATTCGCAATAAATCAGTTGATGAAAGTCTAAATACACCAACGTTCGATTCTATCTCGTACTCTTTCACACTGTTCATATTTGATTTTGAGAACAATGAGTAGAATAAAGCAAGCTTGTGAAAACTTAATAATATCTTCATTGAAGATAAAATTCAACGAAATGAAATCTCGAAGCGTGTCATTTCAACTATCACTTAGTCCTATGATAAGAAGATAATGCATTGCTGACAACTCAGTAACTTCTACAGGTAAATCAAAATATGATGAATATATCGTAATATCCTAAAAACAAGTGGTTGAATGATAACAGATGGTATTGGTCTTTTATGATAATAATATTTTGTGTGCTATACCTTAGGACCTGGAAAATAGATATTACTTGGCATATGAACAACGATATGAGTAACTTCGATCTATATCAAACGTATTAAATTCAATCGAAATAAAATCTAAATATCAATTCTATTCAAATAGATAGATAATACTGTCTATTGATACTCTACAACCACCACAATCATTACGTATCGAAATGGTATGTGTTGCATTTCTATTGTCAATCATTGAAATTGTTTTCGAATTGTTTATCATCATGACAAAATAATTCAATATCGTCTATGATTTAATACATTTGTTTTTTTTTCGAACTTGACTTATTTATTGACATAAAGATCATAAGCTTAGTCAAATGCACATTAATCATACTCTAAATGGTCTATACGAAAAAACGCATATTCTTATCATGGTATGTTACATAGGATCTTATTCTCATTCATAGTAACCATTTGTAACGTTTTCGAATATTACGAAATGATAAATTTTATTGCAGCACAAAAAAACAAGAAAGCAAAAAATCAATGTGTCACTGACATAAGCTTTTTTTCTGGATATACTCAAATATAACATATTTTTCTTACCATCTCTTGAAAGTTTTAAGACATTGCCTTCCGATGAAATGTTTTAATGCATTGTAAGATAATAACTCAAAAGAAATATGTATTCATTACGTTTGATGCTGATATTATTTAATAATCACTTATGACATAATAAATAACGGCTTTCATTTTTCGTCTTTAACTCTTCTGATGTATGGATTCTGAGGAAAAGTTTAAATTTTGATACAACTACTTCTCAGTTGTTGTCTCAAAAAAGAAAATATATTAAGAATATCAATAGTATATAATTACACCTTATTCGTTTTAGTCATTCAGCAAATCTAGAACACATCATATTACTATCTATGTTCTATAGTCATTTGTTTCGTTTTACCTTCATACTCAACATATATTATAACGTGTGAGAAAAGTCCTACGCTCAATGTACCACTGATTCTATTTCATTTTTTTTCATTCGGTTGTTTTTCTTTACCTTTATATCACAAGTTATTCTGTTCTGTTTTGTCACGATTTATGACGAAATGAAAATGCAGGTATAACACTTTTTTTATCTAATGGTCTATCATTACTCATTCATTTGTATATGAAAAAAAAACCATCGACACTCGACCTTGTTTTTCTCCAAATATTGTGTGTAATAAAACACTTACTCCAATGATATTATTCAACTTATTAACTTTGTCAACTTCAGATTTTAGTATAATTGATTGTAGAGAACAAGAAAATATGACTACCAGTCATCAAAAGAATAGTGATAAAAACAGCAAACTAGCTGAATTGGAAGTTATCTCTGGATCTTCTGCTATATTGCACTTTGCTGGTCGTCATCTGCCGGCTGCTATTGGTAGAAGTGGTGTGCATGCAGATAAACGTGAAGGTGATGGAAATACTCCATCAGGTTTTCTACCTTTACGACGCGTATTATATCGTTCTGATCGTCTTGAACCACCTAATACTTTCCTTAAATGTGAACCACTTACTGAAAATGATGGTTGGTGTGATGATGCCACACACCCAGACTACAATCATCAAATTCGTCTGCCACATCCTGCTAGTCATGAAAGATTATGGTTAGAAAATCGATTGTATGATATAATTGGTATACTCGGTTATAACGATGATCCAATAATACCTGGTCGAGGTTCAGCTATTTTTCTTCACGTAGCACGTCCAGATATGGGACCGACTGACGGTTGTATTGCTCTGTCTTTGGACGATCTTTGTTGGGTGCTCGAACAAGGCCTTGAAGCTATTTTCGTTCCAAACTAATTATATAATTTTTCTTTTGTCTCACACTATACTTATTTATCAAAAATTAAGTTTATCCATCAAAATCATATTTAATAGAAAATTTTCTTTTCGAAAACATGAGTATTATGAGATATTTTTTTTTTGGATCAAACTGTAAGAACATGAGAATAGTAAAAACTTTATATTTAAATTGTTTTAATGCATATCGGAAATATAATTACTTTTCATTTATATATCATAGATGAACCTTTGTTTTTTTTTCGAATTGACTACGATAAGCAACTGTTGAATTTCTTTCTTAAATCTTATAAAGTCTCGATTTGACTTCCTCTGTTGATTTACCAGTGAATAATTGATTTATTTTTTCATATTTTAGCAACATTTGAAACATATTGAACTGTCGTCCAAGTATAATGATAATTAAGATAAAAATGTACTAAATGATGATTCAATTGCATTTTAGCAGTCTTACTATATTTTCTCATAATTAATTCTATAGGCTTTTTATAAAGCTGATTTATGATCTTACAGGGTGTCCCATAAGTTGTGGCAGATTTTTTTTAATCTAATTTTTGATGATAATGAATACAAATTAAACTCAAACTTACACATATGATACGGCTTAACATGTACTTTTATTTCATATATTTTATTTGGATTAGATCATTGAATATACAAGAAAATAAACAAATTCAACGAACATATCCTCAATTGACAAATATCAAAAGTCTGCATTTTTTCGCTACTTTGTTAGTTTTTTCTCCAATTACTATTCCTATGGGAGTAAATTTTTACAAAAGAAATCACACATTCTGATAGCACTTGAAATTCTCTATGATATTATGTATTAATACAGTGTCTTAAATTAAAGTAGCGAAAAAAATGCAAATTTTTTGGGCTAGTCGATTCGGAGAATATTCATTGTATTCAATTTTATTTCAATCTATGAATGCAAGAAAATAAGTAAATAGACAGGGTGATAGAGACTTTTAAGCTCTATCAGAATCTATAGTTACTTTCTCAAAAAGATCATTCTATACGGATGAAAAATTTTTAAAACTAGTTTTGATGACGAAGAAAAGATCAAGTCTGAGAATCTGGACATGAGGGTGCCTTTGTTGTCTTTAATATATTTTGGTAATGAAAAGGTCAAAACTAAAACCTAATTCTACAGAGTGATAGAAAACTCCACGGGCTTTCAGAATATGTAATTAGTTTCAAAATAACTTATTTTTATAGCGACAATATATGAGAAATACAGAGTGAGACTTTTTTGTCGGGGTATATATATTGTAACACATTGATGATGTGCTTATTCTGCACATGTACCAATTTCTTTATTTTTTGGTATATCCAATGATTTAATCCAAATAAAATATATGAAATAAAAGTATATGTTAAGTTGTATGATACGTGTAAGTTTGAGTTTGATTCGTATTCATTATCATCAAAAATTAGATTTAAAAAAATCTGCCACAACTTATGGGACACCCTGTATAAACATAATGCTTTATTTGATTCTCGAGACATCATAATTAAATCGAGATGCATCTCTATAATTGTCAAAATTATTATACATATATGAACGAATCATATCATGTCCATGCCTTCTAATACATTAAAGCCAATACCGGCAATAAAACTTGTTTTTTTTCTTCCTCTTTAGTGTTGCATATATTCTTTCATTTAGAAATCAAGCTCTGATTTGCTTTTCTTTTGAAGCTATATATTGTAAAGATGCATAAGGTTGCACAATATGACTTTTTAAAAGTATATCATTGGCAAATTACTTATTCGAAAATTTTACTAGTCAATGCATTGATTCATAGCGGCAATGACTGAACGTTCTTGATGTTCTTCGAGAAATTTTCTTAGTTTCAAAAAATGTTGAAATGAAGAAGAGAGGGAATAATGACAAGAGAATGTACAGGCGAAGACAATCTTGAATATTGATTCTGAATGTCGAAAATTTTCAATAATCTATAATTTGTTTTTTTATATTCCAATAACGGTGGCTAATTTTTCCAGAAAATATTTACAGCAATGGTAGTGACGCAACTGGGTCATTAAAACATTAGCGACAGCGACGGCTTAGCCGATTGCCGTATACCTTAATCAGTCTACGCGTCACTTCTCTCGAATTATATACTGAAACGCATAGTTAATCGAAATTCGACTCCTCAAGTGAATAGCTTAAGTAGTGTACAATAAATACACACAATCGGAAACTACGTTTCATCGTCGATAATCATACGCTAGATGAAGATATTAATGAATATTTATTAATTTACTTGATTCGTGTTTACATTAGATATGTTTCATCATATATAAGACACAATCTATCCAATTTTCATATAGTTTACGCACAAAAACTTCAGCAGATTAATTAATAAGAAAATAAAATTTTTTATTCTCAAATGAGATGTTTATTGAAACTTCGGATTTTTTCTGTTAAACCGTAACATTAAAGGGTATTCTAGATTGTACGTAAATATTCTTTTCTTTTCAAAAGAACAATAGCCAGTTTTACTATAAAACTAAATAAAAAAGTACCACACTTGTTAAAAAAATTTGCCTTGCCATTACAGATAACGACAGCACGAAGATCGATTGAAATCATTTTTCTACAAATATAATACAGTCTACTTGTGCAAGTCAAACATGAATATTGCTGTATATTTTTCAATTGAATATTCCATTTTATTATTTAATTACTTGGATACCAAAAACATATATATAGAACAAAGAATTATCGAACAGTAACACTGAAGAGGAAGAAAGGCGAAGCTTTCGGAATTTCAATTCGTTGCGCTTTTGGTAAGAATCGATACAATCATAAACTACGAAATAATACATTTTATTTTAGAGGATAGCGCTGAATTTCGGCTTGCTGAAGATTTACCAACTTTACATAAAATTATAAACGTATTGGAAAATAGTTCTGGTCATAAAGCTTTGTTGCGTAACGATGATCGTTTGATTAAAGCGATAGGATTAGAATTTATCACAGTTTTCATCAAATTCTGTATGTGTTTAGCGATCAATGGAAAACATGTAAAGTCCAAGTCTTATGCAGAATGCGTGCGACTTCTCCATTTATTGCAGTTACTGGTATATTATGTACTGATCTATTGTTTCTAAGTAAAATACAAACAGAAATAAAAAAAACTTAAAATAAGTATGGTTGCCTGTCGCTTTGGAAGTTACCAATCTATCTTGATAATCTATGGAATGCATTTTTCTAAGAAATTTTTAAACGGTCAAAAAGTATAAAATACAATAAAATTTGAACTATCTAGAAAAACTTTCTAGCATAACTAAAGTGAAATTCAAAGATTCCTATTCTTCAATCTCATGTTTTCTATTAGTTTCTACGACGCTAAATTCATTTACTTGTTACGTAGAGAGAAATTTTTAATGGCAATAATCACTATACTTGTCACAATAGGCTTAATGAACATAATGGTAAATTTAGGCATCTTCTAATAGTCAAGCCACTTAAAAGTGTCGTACCCTTTATGTGTTTTTTTTCAGTCTCTAGGTCTTTAAGGATATGTGGATATGATGGCTATTTTGGCATACTGTAAATATGAAAATATTAGTATCACTGAAGTAACATTTTTGTTGAAAAACTGTTCATGTTTTTTTTCTGATATATGTTCTGCTGTTTGATTTCTACTCGTCATTTACGATTTATATATCATGTGATACAGTGAATGTTGTAGTTTCTTGCTATATATCTATGGCTGAGAAAAAAAGTATGTTATAATAGTTTAAAGTGTAAAAAAACAAGGGAGTGAGAGATGTAATTCAAGTGTAGTGTGAAACATTTCAGTTGAATCGTGGGAAAGCTTCAGTTAAGAAGAATTAGTCTACGACTTCAATATCATTGTCAACTTTATACTCGAAAGAAAACGAAGTCTTAGTTGTCACATATAGGTTTTGATTAGACTAAGACTTCTTCAAATATCCTAAAAATAAACAAATAGTTATAACAGTCAAAAACATTTGCTGATTTTTAATAAATCTAGCAATAATCTAACGGGTGCGCCAGGTATAATGACCGCGCTTTGCATTTCAATTATCATTCACTTAATATATTGTATTAAATAACAAAATATATTACAAAATGCAACGTCAAAAGCTCTACAATATACATGAGACCACTCATTTTATACTTGACTTTTGAGTCTTCAAAATGAGCAAAATTTTGAGCGAACCAATTTCGACCGTGCGAAAATTGATCGTACTAAATTTTACTTTTTTTGAACACAAATTACAATAAGCTTTTCTGTGTAAATTCTAGAGCTTTTCACGCTGCATTTTATGATAGATTTTGGTTTTTTTATACGATATATTAAGTGAATGAAAATTGAAATGCAAAGCGTGGCTATTATACCTGGCGCTCCCGTTACAATGAAAGTAACAAATGTCTAAATCAATGAGCAGTAGTTTTGATAAAAGAAAATGACAAAATTTTGTTTCCTATGTCGAGCATCAAAGACTTCTTAATGTACCTATTTACAACCACATGTTTGGAATAGAAAAATGTGTTCTTTTTTTATTGAAAACCATAAAGAGCATAACAGATAGAACTCTATGGTTTGTTTCAGTCATTGACAGATGTCTCTTTCCAATATTTTTATTAAATGATGAATAATTATGATAGTTGTTTTGAAAAAACGTAAGAAAAACATGATATGTAGTGTAAATCATGTTCTTCTGTATGGTCGATTCTTTGTACAATATTTTATTTCTTGTTTTAGTCAAGATATGCAACTGTACTATCAAAGCGTCACTATGTTGAAATTTTGGGAACGGCGATACACTGCGATTTTCTTCTAACTTTTTCTTTTTGTAACAAGCTCAATGTATGAATAATTGATTAAATCGATTCAGACATTTGACAAATTTCTATTGCGACAAAAATTGATTGATTCAATTCAAATTTTCTTTTATTGAGTATTCTCAATAAATAATGACAATAAAAAGCTAACCTATCTCTCATTGAAAAACATTTTTGTTTTTAAAGTGACGTAAAAAAACATGTAAAACGCGATTACTTATATATGATGAATGTTTTCTTGACTTACTAAATAAATCATACAATTTTTGATCGTTATCTCAAAACAATTTTGCCTAATCATTATAAACTATGAGAAGCTTTACATAAGACATACTCTAGTTGAAGGACAAGTATACCTGTGAAATATTATATAAAACTACACAAGAACTTGAGATAAAGGTATCACAAGGAGTAAATAGAAGACGAAAGAACGATAGACGTGGTCGTTTAGTAGGCTCTGTAATTCTTAAATATTGAAAGACAAAAGAAGTCCAAGAACACACAAACAAATTTACGCAGATAAAATATAATTCACGGTAGTTCATTTTTGAATAATTAATTTTATAGAAAACAAAAAAGGTGAGTACTTTTCATTATCAATATAGGTTCGTTAAAATCGCTGCATCGCTTTGTTTTAAAAGTTTTATTGTGAAAAAGGAATAAAATTTACACCACCATCGGTTTTTGTTTGAAAAAGAAGACTTTTCAATATGGTGAACCAATAGTGAAAAATAATGTTATCCTTATTGAACGAAAAGTATCGTATTTTTTTTCCATCATTTTTGAAAAAATGAATGAAGTATAGCCAAATTATTTAGAAATAAGGTAGCGAAAGAAAACATTTTAGAATAAAATTAGTTTATACTCATCCAAAGAGTTGCTTAATATAGATGTTAACTGTTTTTATCGAACATTCTTTCCATATTAAAAATTATTTGAAACAATAGGCAGAATATCACTAGAATCCGAAACACATGTCACAAACTCCAGCGATTCACAATTTCTGTGTGTCAACTATCTCACAGAGCTCAATTGAGACTAGCGCAAATGGAATAACAACAAAAAAAGACAAATCGAAAGATCAATACGATGTTCTAATTCTAAACTTTTGAATTTTTTCATTTTAACGATAAGGACAAAAAGATAAGTTCATCTACATTGGTTCCGTTGACAAGAGTCCCATCTAATTCATTCTAAGTTTTAGTTTCTACCGAAATTCTATCTGTACGACGACCTTTCCCTTCTTCCTAATTTCTAACTGTAGCACTTGTCTACTAATTCCCGATTATATTCGATGATATTTGCTTACCGTGACTAAAAGTATCTCGGTAAAAGAAAACTATGTATTGCAATTTATTCATTTTTTACCCGTTTAATCGAAAACTTAAACTAAGCAATCATGTATTCTTTATAGAATGTCACAGCAGGAACGTATGAAGTCTCAATCCATGAATGATTTAACTAAAATTTATCAATTTAGTAAAGACATTAGCGAGTCTCATGCACGCATTCTCGTAATGACCTATAATCAACAAAAAAAAGGCACAACAACCAATAAATCAAACAATATTCGCATCGAAAATTTACGAGCCCGCCTTAATAAATTGCAGCTTTTGCGTCATGACGAACTAATGAAAGTATATTCTCATGTGAAACCTACCAGAAACATATCACCACCTCCACCACTTCCACGAGATCGGCGACCAAAACCAAAAAAACGACCTCAACCATTAGTATTAACACGCATTCCAACACAGAAAACTCCAACACCTGATGCATCACCAAAATCACCGACACTCAATGAGTCACGGAAACCATCAATACACGGCAAGGCATCACCAATATCATCAGCACGCAGTTCATCACCAGAAGTTTCATCATCAGTTCCTTCTCTCCACATAGCAAATATTGTCACAGAGCCCAACTTAACATTAATCGATATGGTTCCGACTTCATTTAACCCTAATAAACAACCTGATGATGATGATGATGAAGATGATATTATCTATCCAGAAGGTGTTACTGACTTTCGTCCATATAAAACTGTGGCTCGCTATCGAAAAGCAATTGGTGAATCGATTGATTTTCGTCTCAAACCACTTCTTGTTGGTGAAGACTCTACAGAAACACTTGTTATAGGACTCGAAAACTTTGCTCAGGAACATGATTGTAACTTGATTTTTACAGATGAAGATCAACGATTCGATAAGAGTATCTATCGCGCAGCAGCTGGTCTCGTTGATTTAGGCAGTATTCATCTTTTGGCTACTGATTCTTTGCTTACGGCTAACTTTCAATTCGAAATCGATCTTGATTTTGATCAAGTGATTGTTCAATCTGATGACACGGTAGAAAAATTTGTACAAGACTTTTGTGAAGCCATTTCCAAAGTACTTTCCTGTGAAAGTGGTAATGTTCGTGTATTTTCTATCAATAAACTAGCTGATGAAGAAGGAAAGAGTCAAGTGAAGTTTGGCTTGACTACACCAGAACCAAAAAGAACTGAACAATTAGCTCATGATTTGAAGGTATACTATTGCAAGTTTATTATACCGAAAGATCATTTCGAGAAATTCATTGATAAAAGTCATATTTATTTTGGTTGACTAATCAGTGAAGATCTTAGATAAACTACTATTGAAATTATAAGTTATGAATAGGTTTTTTCTTATAGATTGAGTGAAGAAACAGGTACTCGTTTAGAAAACGTTACACTTTTCACTTTTTTCTTAGAGAAAAAGAAACTTTTTTTATTTTATTTTACGTGATATTAGTATAATCTAATATCAACAAGCTGTGTCTTTTATTTCAGACTTATGCTCGTTCTGGCTTTGGAACTGAGACAATTCTTCAACATGTTAAACCAGGAGAATATGAATGTTTATGGAAGTCTGTACTTAGCTATTTACAAATACGACCTAGTGATTTAGATCCTCGATTCAACTTCGACTATCGGATGCCGGATGTACCTGAACAAGACACACGTGGAGGTTATCCCTATTATCTTCCACTTGGATGGTATCGTCATGGATTGAATGTTCTTCATAAATATGGTAAAGATACTCTTTGGATTGGTCAAGTGAATGCAGAAGGAGAATGGCCTGTTGCTTTTCATGGAACACATTCAGGCGCAGCTAGTAGCATTGTACAACATGGTTTATTGCCAAGTGCTGTCAAGACGGATGTCATGAGACAAGAAGCAATAGAAGAAATTGGAGAAGAAGCGAATCAACCAGGACTTTATATGGCCACACATTGTGAAGGTGGATCATATCCTGCATATACTACAACCTTCACTGTGACTACATTTCCTGATAAGAGTGAACGATTTAGTCTTGTTTTTCAATGTCGAGTACGACCTGGCAAGTTTACAACTCATACAAAACCTGTTAGTGTAGGTGAAGCATGGCGTATTGTTGATCCAACTGCAATACGACCATATGGGATTTTGGTTAAAAAAGAAGATCCAATCAAACCAGAAGAAGAAGAAGAAGAAGAAGAAGAAGATTAAACTACAAACATAGAAGAAACTTCAGCATAAAACCGTTGATGTGTATTACATTATACTTTCATGATTTTATTTATTCTTGTCTTTTACTTTTGACATATTCCTGAGCTTAAATATAACATTATCCCCTATTTGCACAATGGAATCTAGTTCAATTATGGTATATTTTATCTTTCGAATACATTGAAAACAAACATGTACTAGAATATACAATTGGATACTTTTCTTCCTATTATTGAAGTCGATGTGAGAGATGGAATTAATATGATGTCAAAAAATGAAACTAGAAAATGACGAAGTTTTTTTCGGAAGCAGACGTTGCCGTATCTGTTTGAATATTAGTAAGCACACTAGATGAATGCAGCGTCGTCTCATATTCATCAATATAAATAGTTGATCATGACATATTTTTTCATGGAGTATCCATAAGTACAGATAATGAGATAGAACATTTCTTTTTTTATTGTTTTCGTAAAAGCTGGTGTTCGTTAGTTAAACCATGATATTAAGTTGGTCGGTTATCGTTATTTTGTCTAGATGTCAGCTTTGATCATCGAAATAAAAGATCTGTCGTTGAAAACCAATATTTTTATTTATTGTTTTTTTCAAGTTTGACAGCGAACTTGTTTCTGTCACACATTAATAGCCTTTGAGACATTCCTAAATACTACTTTAATATTCATCAGTAAAATGTAATATGGAAATGTTCGTATGAAAAGTTGAAACTATTATATACAAAACGGGTTTCCGATAAGAGATCGAAAAACTAGAGTAATATGAGGAGACAATATAAAAGACCATTATAAAAATGAAGTTTGCTTCAATATCAACAATATCGATTTTATATTCATCTAAAATTACTGCCTCTTTCCTGTTTTCAGAAGAAATTTATTTATGTGTAAAAATAATGAATTGAATCGGTTTAGATAAAAAAAAAAGTTTCAATTGTGACAAATACTGCTTTTATCAATTCAAATTTTCTTTTATTAAATACTCACGATAAATAATGACAACAAAAAACCTAATCTATCTCTAATTGCAAAACATTTTCTGTTTTTCAAATGAAGTAAAAAATATAAGTGCGATTACTTACATATGATGAATATTTTATTAACTTACTATATGAGTCATACACATTTTGATCGTTACCTCAAAACAATTTTGCTTTAATCACTATAAACTGTGAGAAGTTTTATATCAGACATACTCTATTTGTAGGATAATAATACCTTTGAAACATCATAAAATCCTAGTCAAAAGCTCAACATCACTGCGTTATAAGTGGTAGATAGAAGTAAAACGACAATATACGTGATCATTAAATGCTTATGCTAGTTTTTGGAATATTAGAAGAAAAAAAACGTGTAGGAGCAAAGCCAAAAACGAGAGTGTAGGTGTGAGTGTGAAGTTTCTAGTCATCAACACTCACACCCCAACCAAGAAGAACGAGATCGTTATTGAGTAGTGATTCATTGGTGAGCTTTTTCACAACTTCAAAGCCAATGTCCTTGTTAGTGTCAGTGACCAGAATCACATGTTGTTGACTTCTTGATAATATGTTGTGAAAATAAAGAATGATAGCAATGGAATAAATGGGAATATTTCGTGTCAGCAAGAGAAAGTTGAGATAAACTACATGCGAATAGTCATGATAAGTCACATATTCAACTTTTACATAAATATGGTTTCTCTTCAATTCTAAAGGTTCGAATCAATCTAATTGCAATTAGTCTTTAAATCTTTTCTGTTTCGGTGAATTTTCGTGTACAGGCAATGTTATTAGTTTGAACAACTTTTTAAGAGACATATATTTTTTCCTTTTTTTTAAAAACAACTTATAAAAAAATTTATAATTTTTTCAGAGTATTGAGAAGATAAATGTGTTTTGAAATGCATATTGCAAAAATTATTATATTAATTTGAAAGTTAAGGCCTTCCTTTCAAAAATCAATCTCTGTCTAGGAACGTTCAAATCCCATGAAATTTTTAGGATATATTGGAGCAGTAGGGAAGAAACTATCATGAAATTTTCAGCCAGATACCATCATGTTTGAGAGAAATATTGACCAAACAAAAGTCAAAAATAGGTCATTTCACAATCCAAATTTCTCTGTCCGAGCTCATTCTATTTGTTTAATTCTTTTAGTTTGAAAGAGCATACCAATATGCAGGTACCAAAGAGCCTTTTTCTTTTGCTCTAACCTTTTAAGCGAAGAAAAGATATTACAAGTTAAATGACTTTAAAAATCCTTAAAAAATGGAGCTCCAATTATATAAGTGTCTATATATATGATAAAAACATAAGCTTAGTTTAAAAAGAAACTCTTTCATGTCCTGTGTGTTGACATCCTCTGTTAAACAAAAAAATGAAAGACAGATGATCATGGACAGAGAAGTTTGGGTTACGCGATTTAAAAAATATAATCTGAGAAAAAACGAAAAAACAATTTCCATTTCATCTGAAAACTACTTATTTTTCAACAGATATCATCAAAATTTGTGACAAAAGAAAGAACTTGTCAAATGGAAAATAAAGCTTTTTCTGAAAGATTAGATGTCAAACTATCCTCCTGTGTATCTAACTCAATTTCAGATTTTCTGACGAAAATTGAGTTTTTTTGAGGGGAGAAGAGGCCTTAAGTAAATAATTAACGATAGTTTGCGAGTAATTAAATCTGCCTTCATGATGAAAAATCTTCCTAATAAGAACGGATTCTGTAAAATACATAGGATGTGAAATAGTTTTAGTAAATGAACTTTTCTCCTATCTGAACTTCAAAATTTATTTGTGTATCTATCAAAATAAAATATTTCTTAATGAGATGTTCTAAGTTAGTATTACATTTGTTTTCGAAATGTTACTCTTCACACACAATGAATAGACTTGTGTATATCTAAAAGTTATGAAGAAATGGAATGATTCTTTTTGGAAAATGAATATTAGTGAGAGTGTGGGTGTAGATGTGAGTAGAGATGTGAAAAGTGAGCGTGTGTCTGCTCGTCATCAACATTTACATTTAAATCCTTCTTTGATTTCAGGTGAACACTAGTTACAAGAATGGCTTAAATATTAAACTCCAGTTTAGTGTATTATTGATGGAGATTTGCTTCAATGAAGACTATAAGTCTTTCAATATTATTAAGCAATACTACATGAGAGTTGGTTAATAAAATGTTTCACGACTGTGTTATCTTTTTCTTTTCTATCTGTTAACTGTTTTACTGCTTTGAAACATTAAACTCTTTTCGTTACTAACTGAAAGCTCTTCTGTGAATGTGACATTATCAATTACTACAAGACAGACAAAGTAAAACTAGTAAAACATATTCATAAAATATCAAAAAAAAAGAGTTAATTCAACCATTTTATCAATCAACTTATTTGTAGTGTTAGTCGATTATATTTTAAATGGCGTGGATTCTTCATTAAGGCAGGTCATAATCAATTATCAACTACACTAACAACACTTTTAAGAACAACATGTTTGATAAATTTCGCGGCTTGCTTATGGATGATACATTTCCTTTTTAACATCAAATTTTAAAATTCAGAACATAAAATTTTCTTTTCTTCAAAACAATTCATTATTTATAATAACCAACTATACAAACAAAAGCAAGATTCACCAACAACAAGTATATTTCCTTGACTCTTCTTAATTTAAACATAGTCAATGAAGATTACAGTAAATAAGTTCTCTTTGAAACAATGTTCGTCTCACTTGTTTCTTAAACTTTGCATCAAATACGAGATATAATTCACTTGCCATGGTAACAAATAATTATAGCCATGACACAACACTTCTCAAGGTTCTAAATTGAAAAGTTTTAATGGATGTGTTCCATTTTGTTTTTCACTAGAAAACTTTCACCAATATTTTTCTTTATTAAGAAGATTATTCTTGCTAGAAATTTATCTGTACAACGGATTAGATTGTCCAAGTGAGCTGTACTTGAATGATGTTGGTAAGTTATCATCAAATGATTATAATAATAAAAGTAGTATGATTTTGTGCGTTTGTTTTTTTTTGGTAACTTAGATAAACTAGATCTTGTGTTATTATTCTAAGCATTTCATATCAAAATCTTAATACAAAAAATGTCATTGGAAAGTGATAGATTTTAGCAGTATTTATGAAGTTTGTCTATATGAAAGCAAACATGATGATAATAAACATTATTTGAAAAGATGATGAGGAGAAAATATGCCCAAGTCTATTTTTCATCCATATCCACGATCTAATATGCACCATCGCATCCCAATCCAGTCTTTGATACAAATAATATTGCTATTGTTCAATCTCTGTACCATAATCGATATTTTAGAACCTATGATGTTGTTACTACTCCATAGTTTTGCATTACAGATAGAGAGTCATCAATAAATTCTGAACTATGAATCAGCTACTGGCCACATATCATGCTGTATAGGATTAGATATAAAGTAGAAATTTGCTCCACGTAGGTATTATTCGAGGCTAGAGAATCTTACAGAATAAATATCACATGTCTGTTCGTTTGCAACACGGAGTGTATGCATTACATTCATGATTATTTCGTATTTCGGATCTTAAGACCTGACATACAAAAATATTTTTCTCATCACGCTGACTGAACTCAGAAATTGATTTGTTATATAAACATAACTGTAATAACGTTCGATTCATTCACTAAGCTCGTTTCAAAAAACAATCAGTCAATCTAGAGTATTCATCGATATTTCTTACATCAAACAAGAATGATTCGTATTATGAAGATCTCAATTGTCGTCTCCTTGATTGCTTTTATCGTAATCATCCAGGCGGTTTCCCAACGCGAAGATAACTTTGGTGTTTATACGGCGGGCAAAGTTGGCTCCAAAGGTCACATTTTCTCAAAGCATCTTGCAGCGAGCAGTGGTTGTGTCGAGAATGGATGCACTTGCTACGTTGGAACTCCACAAGGTCAATACTGCTCTGGCAATAATGTTTATGAATGCAATTCCAATGGTGATTGTTGTATCT